TCATTGGGTAGAAAACTTCGCTTCAGGACCACTAAAAACTAGACACATGAGGTATGATGATCAATATTTTTATATTACCATCAACTGAGTAATATTTACCTATACAAATTTCTAAACTATGTCTATGGCGGTTCTTGATCCATATTTTATTAATCTGTATTTCTAATTTATTTTTGTTTACTATTTATGAATTTTGACATTAATAGATTAAGATGTCATTAGGATATTTACAGTTGATATTTATTTTTTTTATTTTTTTCATATGGACTGAAGTACAAAATGTAAATTATCATGAAATTATGTGGGAAATTCCTTAAGCATATTTTATATAATTATCGGAAATTATATAAGAAAAAAATCCTTAAATACCATCTATAAACTAACTAATTATGCGAAAAAATCCTTAAAAAAAAAAAATTACTCCCGCGGTCTCTTCACACCAACTCGTACGCCGCCGAGTTGATAATGGCGCTGGAGCGTTCGTGAGAGAAGCGGGAAAAAAATGCATCATAGTGCATTATACTGTAAATAATATATCATCATAATCTTCTCTCTGACGTGGTATAAATTTTTACACAGTTAGGAATTTCCGAGGTCTTGTAACGAAGACATCGGGGCTGAAGAAACTAGACCGCTGAAAGTGATGTGTGATGGAGTGTTGTTTTCGCGTCTTGATTTCATACCGTCGTCACCATGTTAGAGTGTGTGTGTTTACCTTCGTCGTACTTTTTTAAATAGTTATCGTACCGTAAGAATTTTTTAAGACGGATTTTTAAATTTTTTTGGAAGATAATTTTATTTGTTTTGAGTAATTTAACCCTTTATTAATATTATAAGGTAGAATATTTATTTTTTATTATCCATATTCATTATTATTTGTTAAGTAATAAACCTCTTGTGTAAATTGGTTTTGTGACAATTTCTTTTATATTCTCTATAAGTAATTTTAGGATCACTAATAATGTCATGGGAACATTTATTATTATTATTATTATTATTATTATTATTATTATTATTATTATTAGTTATTATTATTATTATTATTATTATTATTATCATTATTATTACTGTTATTAGAATCATTCAGCATTTGTATAAAAATATTCACTCAACTTTTGGTCAACAGAACGCGGCTAAATTCGCCTTAGAAAATGTCAGTTCAGAAAAAATAAAGCTTGGCATGAATTTGTAAGCAGGAAGGAGAGTGATGTGGGGTGAGGGTCGTAGGGAAGGGGAGAGAAGGGGAGACTAGTGGGGAGGGGAGAGAAGGGGAAGATGGTGGGGAGGGGAGAGAAGGGGGAGAGATGGTGGGAGGGAGAGAAAGGGGGAAAGATGGTGGGAAGGATGGGAAAATACTAAAGGGCGAGGGTGGGGAAAGCAGCAGCAACAGAAGGGTTAGTTCTGTATGAAGACAGACAGGAAGAAAGAGGACCATCGGTAAGCTCTTTGATACCAGCTCCACCCCTGTGTTTCATTTATTTACCTTATTATAACGAGTCGCTAATTATATGCATCCTGTTACTCATACGTGGGAAAAAAAGAGCCCCCCCCACACACCACCCTGTTGAAACTGTGTGTTGTTAAGCATCTGATGATAACACTCTTTTGGAACCCCTAGTCTCTCCTCTCTCTCTCTCTCTCTCTCTCTCTCTCATTAAATGCAAACTTTCTCATAGTAAAATCCCACAAAAGAAAATATCTTAAAATAGGTTAATTAGACCCGATGAATAGTATTAATCCGAGGAGAAATAAGACACTTGAAAAGAGAGTGAGAGAGAGAGTAGAGAAGTGGCAAGTTGTAGGAGGGAGGAGGAAAGGGGGAAGAGGAGGAAGAGGAGGGAAAGAGGAGGGGGAAGAGGAGGAGGAAGAGGAGGGAAGGAGGAGGAGGAAGAGGAGGAAGAAGAGGGAGGAAGAAAGGGAGGAAGGAGGAGGAAGAGGAGGGGGAAGAAGAGGAGGGAAGGAGGGGGAAGGAGGGAGGAAGAGGAGGGGGAAGAAGGAGGAGGAGGAAGAGGAGGGGGAAGAAAGGAGGAAGAGGAGGAGGAAGAGGAGGAAGAGGAGGAAGAGGCTATGTTTCTTGTTTCTCACAGTGTATCTATCTCTCCGCTCCCTCCTATTGTGTCTCCTGTTTTGATCTCCAGGAACTTCTCTCTCTCTCTCTCTCCTCTCTCTCTCTCTCTCTCTCTCTCTTGTTTGTTTCACTTTACTATACATAGTCTCTTGTTGATGTTACTCTCATTAAGGTTATTTCTATTTTTTTTTTTTATAACAATGGTTGGTATAATTAGTCTATGGTATTTTGTATAAGTTTCCTACGATAATTTAATAGTTATCATGATTCAATTAATAGATACTTATTAATTATCTCGTATATCGCCACCGTGATGCTTGTTAACACTGAATAATAATGAAAGTTAAACAAGTATCATTTTATTTTTATTGTTAGTATTTTTTTTTTAAGCATTGTATCGTTTATTATTTCCCTATTGGAGTGAGGTACAAACATCTTGGTCCATCGTCGACCAATCAGCGACCAGCTTGATGGTAATAAGAGGAGGAGCTTATCACTAGACACGCCCCCTCCTTACTGCCCAATTACCCATCATTATCGACCTCGTTGTTATGATCAGACGATATGACAACAACAAGCTGAATCCGATTTTACAAGAGATGAACTTTTATTTTATTTTTCTTATAATATCACACGAGTTTTGTGGTTAATATTGAATAAAGGATTTTTATAATTTTTTTTTTTAATATCTCAGAGTTTATTTTTTTTTATTTTACTTTGGTTAATGAATAGTTATTAGATAGTGAGTGAAGGAGTTTACATTTAGGGGTATATATCATTGTTTAAAGCCAGTGTAACTCAAGTGGGTTTCCCTATAGCGATGTATCCTTATATATATATACACCCACCAGTATCTCTCTCTCTCTCTCTCTCTCTCTCTCTCTCTCTCTCGCTCGCTCGCTCTCATCCTCGCCCAGCTTGACAGTCCGGCGGAAGGGTTTTTGTGGAGGTGTATAAAAATGTAGGAGTGGATGATCAGGTTTCTGGTCGCGCCTGACAGATGGCAGGCAGAGCGGGGCAGGAGTGTCTTAGCCCGCCGTGTTTATTATACCAGAGCAGTGGGGTCATACTCCCTCCCTGCCTGGCCTTACTGCCCTGCCCTCTTGCCCTGCCCCGCCCTAGCCCTGCCCACTATCCCTTACCACATACTCTTCTTCACATACTGTGCATGCTTGGGAAAACAAACCTTAATATGGCGGTCTTAAAAATATAGTAGTTTTTTTTTTGTATGGTGACAGAGTTGTTAAGAATATAGTACAAATATTTGTCTATAGTTTTACATAACTGCGATTAATTAAAAAATATAATCACATGATGAATAATATCTGCGATTTTTTTAATAATGCAGTTATAGTGTTTTATTTCTATACAGTAATTGAGAATTTTTAATAAATTATCGTAATATTTTGCTTTCATTTTTATTTTCAACTGACTGAATTCTTAGCAAAAATATAATAATAGTTTTTAGATATTATTTAAAAACTAACTGCGAATTCTTAACAAACTATAAATATTTCCTTCTTTACATTTTTTACATACTGAGAAAAAATCCTTATTTCTTAATTTTTAACAGTAAATGAAACTCGTATCTAACAAACCACAATACGAGCTTAAACACCTTTAGTTATTACCGAATCACAGCAACACATTATAACACCAATAACAACAACAACTCTACAATACATTATAATATTTCTCAAGATATGTAAATAACAACGAGCAAATCACCACCCCCCCCACCAACAAATTATTGAAATCACACGAGGCATTGGAGGGGGGTAGAAAGAAGAAGTGGGGAGGAGGGGAGTGGGAGGGGATAAGGGTGTGTATTTAGCATATGAGATGGGAATCGGCACCAAAAATGGACTTGAACAGCGACCAATGTAGTGATAGTAATCTAGGGAGGGGGAGGGAAGGGGGGGGGAGGGGAAGGGATTAGCTCGCAACACACCGTACCTACGCCTTTACAGTGGCACATCAGAATCACTTCACCATTAGCACATTTGCACCATTAACGGGGTGAACTATGGCTCCTTGTGGTGGTTGGGTCGTTGGGTCGTTAAAGTAATAAGATGTTATCAATTGTAATTATGCTAAATCCTTCCTTCCTTCATTCCTCCCTTCCTTCCTTCCTTCCTTGTGACTGCTGGATGTTTTAACTCATAATCTCAGCATCATGTGTGTTGAGATCTGTCTGTCTGTCTGTCAATGAATTCTTGTCGTCTTTATCATTTTATCTCTTTATTTATTTATACCTTCTGATCTTTACACACACACAGACAGACAGACAGACAGACAGACAGACAGACAGACAGACAGGCAGACATACGGTCAAAAACACGATCTCTTTTCTTCTTCCTCCTCAACTCACGTATTACAGTGGTGTGTGTGTGTGTATGTGTGTGTGTGTGTGTGTGTGTGTGTGTATGTCTAGTCTCATGTCTTATTTTGTGTCTTCCTCTCATCTATCTTCATTATCATTGTCTATCAACCTCTTCCTGTATATATCTCTTCCCTTAGTCCATCAAAGTCACATTTCTTAACTTTTATCAAATTTCTTACTTATTCTTTCTTTTGTCTGTATATTCATTTATTTACTCCCTGTTTAATTTATGTTTATTTTGAATTTCGTCTTTAACTTGTTTCATTATTATTTAACTGTGTTTCATCTTTATCCTGTTCCGTCTTTTCCTCATTATTTTACGTTTTCTGTCTATTCTACTTTTTCATTTCGATTACATATCCTAGTTCCTATTCTATCTTTTTCATTCCAATTCCAACTTATAATTCCAATTCCAACTTCTTATTCCAATTCCAACTTCTCATTCCTATTCCACCCCATTCCACACCTCTTCCACACCCATTCCACCCCATTCCACACCCATTCCACCACTTCATAATTCAGATAATTCAGTGGATTTTCCGGTTTCAGACTGATATCAGGGTAAGCGCACCTCGGACTACCGCCTACCTGGGGAGACTCGCTTAATTAAAAGTAGGAGTCGCTGCTTATTGTGTTGGGAATATATCTGGATCACAAGAAAGATTTTTTTGTTTATTTACAAGCTCTCTCTCTCTCTCTCTCTCTCTCTCTCTCTCTCTCTCTCTCTCTCTCTCTTAGGTTATTTCACCTGAAGATTAAACACTCTATTGGTTTAGTATACTTGTCGGGGGTTGGGTTAGGTTAGGTTAGGTTAGGTTAGGTTAGGTTAGGTTAGGTTAGGTTAGGTTAGGTTAGGTTAGGTTAGGTTAGGTTGAGTTAGGTTAGGCTGGGGTAGGTGAGTGATAGATTAAGCTAGAGTAGTGATGGATTAGGGGAGGGGAAGGGGAAAGTAGTGAAGGTCAGATTAGGTTAAGTTGGGTTAAGTTACTGGTGTATTAACTTAAGGTAGATTAGGTTAGGTTTGGCTAAATTAATTGTGGATTTGGTTAGGTTAGCGTACTATTAGGTTGATTGGATTAGTGTATGGTTAGGTATGGTTAGGTTAGGTTAGGTTAGGTTAGGAGAGGATGGTTACTCTAAGGTGAAATAAGCTGGGGGACGAATCTTCACGTGATCCAGATTTTGTCTCTGTTAGATAAGACGAGAGGCTCAGGATGGTGGAGAAGCCACTCTAGGGATGCATTAGCCGAGGAGGGGAAGAGGGAGGAGGAGGGGAAAGAAGATGAAGGAGTAGAGGGAGAAGAAGGAGGGGGAGAGGAGGAAGGATAAGAAAGAGTAGGGCGAGGAGGAGGTAGGGGGAGGGGGTAGAAAAAGAAGAAAGAGGAGGAGGGGGGGTAGAGGGAGGTAGAGGAGGGCGAGAAGGAGATACGCTCACGTCAAACCCATCTTGGATTACATCACTTGGGGCGGATTAAGATCATATCCTTTTTTAAGACTTTCCGGGATTACATTAAAGGGGGGATTTAGCGTCATATCATCCCAAGGCTTCAAAGAGTTATTTAGCCTTTTCCGGGATTACATTAAGGCTTCAAGAGCTATTAAGAGATGTATGGATGGATGGGTAACTTAGATTACTTGATCGAGGTATTTAAAGTTATTATAATATTAACTTGGGGGGCCATACTACTGCTAAGGGGGTCATATCACTGCTTAGGGGGCCATATCACTACTAAGGGGGCCATATCACTGCTAAGGGGGGCCATATCACTCCTGGAGGCCATACCGAGGTCTGCTGGGGTAGGAGGGAGGGAAGGGTCTCATTGTTCAGTGACATATAGAGAGAGAAATCTACGGAATCCTCACTCCCTGCTAGTCTAACTTACTATATTGAAACACATATACAGGTATATACTTCGCCTTATAAGCATCTTCATATATACTCTCGTGGATGGGCAGACACTCACTATAAAATGATATAGGAGAACAATAATACCTTCAGCAAGTATAAATAATCTAACTCAGCATTTAAACAATCAAAAATCTTACCATCAAGATCTCAAGGGAAAATAAATCAAAGAAGATCGAATATATTAACAAGATTTGGTATCGCCGTTGTGTTAAATACTCGGTAAGGAAGAGTAGGAGGAATGTTTATGTTTATTTTTAAAACTATCATTATAAACGGTAGAAACTATAAGTATCATGTTAAGACGTTGTTTATGTCGTCGTGGATGTTGTATAGTTCGATTGGTATTTGTTTTTCAAGTCGTCTATGATAATTTTGTGGTATAGTTTGATTGTCATTTGTTTTCACGTCGTCTATGATAGTCGTATAGTTCGATTGGCATTTGTTTTTCAAGTCGTCTTTGATAATCTTGTGATATAATTTGATTGACATTTGTTTTTCACATCGTCTATGATAGTTGTATTGTACAGTTCGATGTGCATTTGTTTTTCGTGTTCTCCCACCACCATGTACACTGTCGACTGATCTCTAGTAGGTCCCCTCACTGTTCTCACAACCCCACAACCCTACGCCACCCCTCACTCCTCCTTCCCCTACCATCCTACCCCCCTCCACCTCCACCATCCTCTATAGTTAACCAAGTATCAGAGGAAATGAAAGAAAACATTGTATTTATGAGTTCCGACACCATAAGAGATTAACCCCTCGTGTGTTTTCCCTCCCCGAGACGGACTTCCATCAGGCTCTATCTCAACGATACATCTGGCTCGACCTAACCAGATGTTGGTGGTGATAGGTGTGTGAGGTATGGCCCAGCTTAGTGCAATTGGGGAACGTGAGGTTTTAGTTTGTTTTTTCCTTAAAGGGTGAATGTGGTGACTGCATGTTGGACGCCATGGTGTGTGAGAGAGAGAGAGAGAGAGAGAGAGAGAGAGAGAGAGAGAGAATGGCTAAGTATAATGTGTATGTGTGTATGAGTGATGAGTCTATATGTGTGAGTGTGTCCGCGTGAGTGAGTGTATATGTGTGAGTGTGTCCGCGTGAGTAAGTGTATATGTGTGAGTGTGTCCGCGTGAGTGAGTGTGTAATTGAGTTCGAACTATCGAGGTCAGCTTCTGTCATCATTACGTCATCATTACGTCACTATGGAGAAGATTCTTAAAACCCCCCAAATACCCGTGTGAAGCTTATGACGTCACCGTACAGAACATTAATTAACCTGTGTGACGTCAATGAAGGTGGTTATTTTCCCCCCTTTGTTATTTTCTTCAATCAAACATTACTAAGAGAGATATAATGTTATTTACCGTTATTTATTAAGACTTGGGTAATGTTATTATTTTTTTCACAGTACTAAAGACTTTTATACAGGGTGGTGGAAAATGAATACCCAGATTATATATTTTTTTATATTCAAATCTTTGGTGTTCTTTTTGGATGACTCTGTACAGTATATGAAAAAAAATAATCTTGAGGAAATTGTTTATATAATAGTATCAGGTTAATAATTATTGTTTACTATAATTTAGAATGTTATTGCTGTATATATGACAAGAATTATTGTAGTTTTATTTATTTTTCAATATAGGTGAAATATTAAAATTTTTACTAAATTTAATTGTTTATAATTTTTAATTTTTGTTTTTTTTGTCTAAGTATTTTAAGTTATTTTATGGATACTCATCTTTTTCTTGTAATAGTATAGATGAAAATAACATTAAATAAAAACAACGAAATAAAAAATTAATTTCATAGTAAAAAACATTAAAATAAAAAATAAAAATAAAAAATAGTGTAAAAAAATATTTACCCCAATTGTAAAATAAAAAAAAAACGAAAAAACGATAATAGAACGAAAAAATAAATAAAAACAATGAATTAAAACCCGAAATTAAAGCTATTGGACAAACAGACAGACACAGACAAAAAAAACCCACCCACTCTCAATTCTACACGACGACTTGGCACATACCTACCGCCCTTGTGCCCTTCCTTGACAGCAGGGTACCAGGCCAGGTTACCACAGATAAATACCAAAATATTGCTGTGTAATATACCACAGTTTGAACCGATATAATCTGTAAGACATATGACCAAGATGTTAACACTCACGGTGAACCAGTCAGGTGTGTTTGGGTATACTCACCTGAGGTATACTGTATTATACTCTGATAGTGATAATGATAATAATAACAAATAGTAATAAAAATAAAATATTAATAATAATAATAATAATAATAATAATAATAATAATAATAATAATAATAATATAATAATAATAATAATAATAATAATAATAATAATAATAATATAATAATAATAATAATAGTTAAAAAGATACTTAGACATTCAGATAGTTAATTATATAGTTAAATAAAATTAATTTCTACCTCCTTAATTTTTGAGTCAGTATCTTGTGTGCATCAAAAGTACTCACGCCAAATATATTTTATACTATTAAAACACAAAGTACTCGAATATATATAGTTAATATAGGTACTGGAGTGAATGTATGTGAACTGAGTGCCTGTCCGAGTACAAAGAGTGAGTGTAAGTGCGTTAGTGCGGGTTAGTTCTATTCCATCTCGTAGTCAGTCAAGAACGGCATAGATAGAGCTGACTGGCGCATATATTATATAGTATTAAGAGCCCGTATGTGATATATGAATGGTGGCTTCTTATAAGGTTGGTATATACAGTACATTGTTATAAGGATCTTTTTCATTAACCCCTTGAGTACGATGACTTAACCCCTTGAGTACGATGACTTAACCTCTTGAGTACGATGACTTAACCCCTTGAGTACGATGACTTAACCTCTTGAGTACGATAACTTAACCTCTTGAGTACGATGACTTAACCCCTTGAGTACGATGACTTAACCTCTTGAGTACGATAACTTAACCCCTTGAGTACGATGACTTAACCCCTTGAATACGATGACTTAACCCCTTGAGTACGATGACTTAACCCCTTGAGTACGATGACTTAACCCCTCTTGAGTGACTTAACGCGATGACGATGACTTGAACCCCTTGAGAACGACGATGACTTAACCTCCTTGAAGACGATGACTTAACCCTTTGAAGACAACAACCCCTTGAAGACGATGACTTAACCCCTTGACGATGACTTAACCCCTTGAAGACGATGACTTAACCCCTTGAAGACGATGACTTAACCCCTTGAAGACGATGACTTAACCCCTTGAAGACGATGACTTAACCCCTTGAAGACGATGACTTAACCCCTTGAAGACGATAACTTAACCCCTTGAAGACGATAATACTTAACCCGATAACTTGAACGAAGACGATGACTTAACCCCTTGAAGACGATGACTTAACCCCTTGAAGACGATGACTTAACCCCTTGAAGACGATGACTTAACCCCTTGAAGACGATGACTTAACCCCTTGAAGACGATGACTTAACCCCTTGAAGACGATGACTTAACCCCTTGAAGACGATAACTTAACCCCTTGAAGACAATGACTTAAAGGAATGATTTTGGTTTCTTTGCTCTCTATATGATACCGTATACATAGATATACATAGATGTATTAATATATTTGGGTAATAATCACACAACTAC